TCCTGTGTCTTCTGCGCGGTAGTAATATGCAAATTATGAGTTCCTAGGGGCTCTTGGTTTAGGGTTTAGTGTCTAGGGTTTAGTGTCTGGGGTCTAGGGTCTAGGGTCTAGTGTTTAGGGTTTAGGGTTTAGGGTTTAGGGTTTGTCTCAGGGAGAGGGTGCGGGCCTAAGAAGGACCACTGTCACCTCGACTTGACGCATTTACCTCCGGAGACACTTCACTCGCGTTTACCAGGCATCATGGAGACAGCCAAAATATTTGCAGGTGAGTTGGGGTGTCTCCTCAGCTGCATTTAGGTGTCTCTTTTGCTGCATATGGGTGTCTCCTCAGCACCATTCAGGTGTCTCCTCAGCACCATTCAGGTGTCTCTTCTGCTGCATTCGGGTGTCTCCTCTGCTGCATTCGGGTCTCTTCTGCTGCATTCGGGTGTCTCTTCTGCTGCATTTGGGTGTCTCTTCTGCTGCATTTGGGGTGTCTCTTCTGCTTGGGGTGTCTATTCAGTTATATTTGTGCTGTCTCTTCTGCTGCATTTCCACTGTCTTTGCACTTGGGCTGCTGTAGCAAAAGACAGCTGCTGCAGGTGTCTCCTTTTGTGTCTCTTTAGAGACACAAAAGGAGACACAAAAGCTGTAGCTGCTGCACCTCGCGGCTGGAGGGATGTGGGTGTTTCTGTTGTGCATGCACGTGTGCTGCTTGTGTGGTGTCTGTCTCCTTTTGTCTCCTTCTGTCTCCTCCTGTATCTTTTTACTTTGTCTCCTTTTGTTTAATCTTCTTTAATCTCCTTTTGTCTCTTTTAGGGTTTGTTGCTGTCTGCTTTTTGTGTTTTTGTATTATTCTACCCTGAGTAAGCCCACGACAGCCAACCTCGGCAGCCACCCCGTAAACCCTAAACCCTAAACCCTAAACCCTAAACCCTTGTGCGTTCAGGAGTGGATGTGACTAAACAACCGATCCCTGTTCTTCCTACTGTTCATTATAACATGGGGGGCATTCCAACAAACTGGCGAGCGGAGGTTTTACACTGTGTAAAAGGAAACGGCCGCATGGGTACCTCAAGGGTTTAGGGTTTAGGGTTTAGGGTTTAGGGTTTAGGGTTTAGGGTTTTTGTTAAGTATTATGTATTTTTTGTTATTTATTAATTATTATATATTATATGTTATTTATTGCATATTATTTATTATGTATTATTAATTATATATTATTAATTATACGTTATTAATTATGTGTTATTAGTTATTTATTATATATTTGTTTTGTTTGTTGTTTACCTCTACTAATTTATTTGCAGTAAACAAAACCTAATGCATTATAGATACTATGAAGCATATTTGTTGATATTTACTTAAGTGGATTACTCTACTGTGTGTCTCCGCAGCAAAGGAGACAGTTCTTGAAGGCCTTTATGCTGCTGGAGAGGCTGCATGCGCTTCTGTACACGGAGCAAATAGATTAGGTGCAAACTCTCTTTTAGATTTAGTTGTCTTTGGGAAGCAAGCAGCAAATGTAATTGGTGAAAAGATTAAAAAATGTAAGACAAAGAGAGACAGACAAAGACACCCTCTGCTGTGCTGTACGTACGTACCAGAAGCAGCAGCAACAGCAGCAGCAGCAGCAACAGCAGCAGCAGCAGCAACAGCAGCAACAGCAGTAATAACAGCAGCAACAACAGCTGCAGAATTACCAACAGCAGCAGCAACAGCAGCAACAACAAAAAACAATAACAACATCAACAGCAGCAGCAACAGCAGAAACAGCATCAGCAGCAGCGACAGCAACAACAGCAACAGCAGCAGCAGCAGCAGCATCTGGTGGTAATGTTTTGTTGGGCTGCTGCTGTGTTACGTTGCTGCAGCAAACCCGAGGCCGTCTCTTCGCCCAGAAGCAGGAGAGGAGACACTTGCACGCATCGACAAACTGAAGCACAATAAAGGGACAGAGACACCCGCAGAAATAAGA